TGTGGGGCCTGAACTCTGGGCCTGTGCACTGTCCCTCAGCTCTTCAGCTCAAGGCTAGCACTCTACCACTTGAGCCACAGGGCCACTTCCAGCTTTTTTCTTTTTGCTTATGTGGTGCTGAGGAATCGAACCCAGGGCCTCAGGCATGCAAGGCAAGCGCTCTGCCACTGAGCTACCTTTCCAGCCTTAGTTTACTCATTTTAATAGTACAGACTAGTTGCCACTTATTGAGGTGAATTATACTATAGAAGCTAAATATATTCATCCTGTCATAGAGCAGAAAATTCACTTAATAAAAATGTAGACTTTAGTAAGTGCTTTGTACTTACACACTGTTAATTGTTCCTCAAGCATAGTTGAGCACCATTTCTTATTTTCTTGAAATATTCAGTTAATTAATCAAGTACTTACCAAGCACCTGGGCTCACACTCTGCTAAGTCCTAAGGATTTAGTGATTAACCAGGTACAGCTTCTATTTCAGTGGATTTATACTTAGTGGTACTCAAAAAAGTAATAAAACAATTATTGCATATTGTAGTGGATTCTTAGTCAACATTAAGAGCAGACTTTGGTAAAAATTATAGGAAGCACTCAGTTCACGGAAGAATTCCTTCAGGATTTGAGGTATAAGCTTCAGATGGTTGGGGAAAGAAATAATCTAGGAAGAATCACAGTATATGTCCAGTTCTAGGGATAAGAGTATGCAAACAATGTGAATAAATTAGTAAAGCACCGAGTAGGAATGAAGGAAATGAAAAATAAAAAGCTGATTACAGAGGAATTTCTATTTATGCACATGCTGTTGGGCACTAGTAAAGATAGGCTAGTTTACATTTTCCATCTCTGTGTGTGTATGTGTGAACACATGCACACATGCTCATGTGAAGATACTGCACTTTGAACTTAGGGCCTTGCATTCTCACAGCTAGGACTCTGCCACTTGGACCACACCTCCAGGTTGGCATTTTTGCTGTTTAATTAGAGATAGAATCTCTAGGACTTTCCTACCTGAGCTGGTTTTGATTAGTAACTCTTTTTTTTTTTATTATTGTCATTGTGGGGCTTGAACTCTGGGCCTGGGCACTGTCCCTGAGTTCTTCAGCTCAAGGCAAGCACTCTACCACTTGAGCCATATCGCCACTTCCAGTTTTCTGGTGGTTAATTGGAAATAAGAGTCTCACAGACTCTCCTGCCAAGGCTGGCTTTGAACCATGATCCTCAGATCTCAGCCTCCTGAGTAGCTAGGATTACAGGCGTGAGCCACTGGTCTCTAACTCCCCCTTTGCTTTTTGAACAAGTGGCATGGCAAGATTGAATATGCAAGGATTTGATTAGGACAAATGATTTGAGAGAGAAAATGAGTAGACCTTAGGAAGGTTGTGATGCATGTCTGATTATAAGTGAAGAAAGAGAGAGATTGGAAGTGTCACCACTTTTGGTATAATCCAAGGAAGAAGGTTTGTCAAGCCAATTACAGATCTTGTGAATTGGTTTGTCAAAAATGTTCCATCTTTGGGCTGGGAATGTGGCTTAGTGGTAGAGTATGTGCCTACCATGCATGAAGGCCCTGGGTTGATTCCTCAGTACCACATATACAGAAAGAGCCGGAAGTGGCACTGTGGCTCAAGTGTTAGAAGCCTTGAGCAAAAGAAGCCCAGGGATGGTGTCTAACCCTTGAGTTCAAGCCCCAGGACTGGCAAAAAGAAAAGTTCTATCACTCCCCCAAGTGGCTTGGTATACCTGCTACTTTGGCTGGGAGCATTTTATGGAATATGTAGTAGACTTACACAAACATGGCAGTGGATTTCAGAACACAGCAGCTGTAATTTTTGCTCAGTTGTACTTCTTAAAGTTGTAGGTCTTTGATGTATGTTCTCAAGGATAAAACAAAGGACTTTTCACAATAAACAACATAATCAGATCAGGTTTGTATATACAGAAGAATATTCTAGCTGCAATGAAAATTGAGTTGAGCAAGAATGATTGGAATGTGTCCAGAATCTTCTGCCTCATGTAGACTAGTTGGAAAATGGAGGATCATACAGACTTTCCTGAATGGGTCTCAGAAGGTTCCAGGTGTTCTTGGGACACATTTTGAAAACTTACTGAACTGTAATATTAAATATATGATGGAAAAGTGGGAGAAATTTGATTATATTTAAATATTGGTGGAAGAAGAGGAAATGAAAGATAGGTATGATCTTGGTAGGAAATTTTTGAATGAGAATGATGGGGTGACATCCTAACTGATTTTAGAATTAGCTTTGGGAGCCAGAGAGTGACCTCCAAAGGCTCTTTATTGAGTGAGTTCTAGCATATCGTAGAACTCCTTAGGCACAGGAGGCAAAGAGGGGTAAAGCATTGGACTAACTTTGGAGGTAAAGTGGTAGGAAATGGAAGGTTCCAATCTGGGATTTCTGCATGTGTTCTCATAAGCCTGTACCCCCTGTAGGAAACTATATGCATACTCTCCTATGCTGAGAGCGAAGAAAAAAATGGGTAAAGGATTACAAAGAAGTTAAGTTTTGAAATAGCCAGAGAAAGTAAGGCACGGACAATGGAAGGAAGAGCTGACCATAGAGACCTGAAAGGATTGCTACAAATGCAGTCAAAATTCTTGTTGGAGAAAAAGAATGTATTTGCAGTTTGAGAAATACTTTGTCAGTTTTTCAAACAGGAGAGGCTCCTAGTCTGTTGTAGGTATAAAACTTATACATGACTAGACTGCCTGATTAAATGTAGCTTACAGGTTGCCCTGCTGCTTACATAAAGGCTGTAATGCTCTTTCTGGATTTTCACACTGCTGTTACCTCCTATATGACAGCTACTTTTTCTACACACTTGAAATTTCTGATGCTTTCATAGCAGCTGACTCTTGGTGTAGGAGTATTGTTTTGTTTTGTTTTTCTGGTTTTACTATTGGGTTAGAAAACAATCTTTGTGCTTATTTGTCAGTAAGAGTCCTTGTATTTACTCCTTGTTCTTGTGCTAAGTATTATGGAGTTCTTTTGGCAGGTGCAGGGAATGCTGTAATACTAAAACTAACTTTTTAAAAAGAAATGTCTTCTTTGGCAGCTGCCTAATTATCAGTGTTACCAGTATGATGCTTTTTGGGGCGTTTGAAAACGTTGCTTTACCTTAGAAAAGATTGAACATTTAAAATAATTTTACCTTCTATAGCAGAAGCATATCTGTATTATACTAAATGGATTGATTTAGGAATAGACATGTAGTTATTGTTTGATACAAACCATGACCAAAATGGAAACCACTTTTTTTTTTTCCACAAAGGGAAGCTTGAGTTATTCTTACTTAGGTTAAAAGTTTTCCTCCATATCTGTTTGGTCTGCTTTTGTGCTGCCTTACCTCACTTTTCCCAGATGCATTGTGGCTTCTCTAACAACCCTCTCTTTTATGTGTATTTTACGTTTTTGCCATGTAGGTCTTTCACAGTTCTGCAGCCCTAGGCGGGCATTCTCTGAGCAGGGTCCGCTCCGTCTGATCAGGAGCGCCTCTTTCTTTGCAGGTTTGCAATGTGCTGTGTGGGTAGTCTAGTTGGTGTGCCCTAGCGGCTAGAGTGTAGTTAAGCTGTGGAAACAAGAGAGTAGAGAATATAGTTGAGAAGTGGTAGTTTTTGTTTGTTTGTTTTTTAAAGCAATGCTTGCAAAGTATAGTAACTTCATTCTTTCCTACTGGATAAATTATCCATGGATTTGACACTTGGATGAAATTTTATTTGTCATTTTTTTCCTCATACCATAACGATTTTAACTTTCAAATCTAAACACTAGGATAGTTTAGCATCTAGCTATACTACTTATATTTTAAGTCTGATACCCTCTTGTTTCCATGGCTAAGTAGCTTTTGTACTATAGTTCACCAATTGCAGAAAATGCCCTATATCTTATAATCACTGAAAATTTCAGATCTTCATTATCCTATCAGAATGATTTTTTCATGGAGCTAAGATTTAGATGAACAAGCTCTGGAATGAAAGACTTGTATAATTGTTCATATGATTAAATTTTTTGATCACACAGTGTGTGACTCTAGTCCTATTCCATATTTTCACACACAGATAGTGAACATAACTTTCTTTTTCATATATATATATATGTATGTATGTATGTATGTTTTTTTTGTCCATTTTAGGGCTAGAACTCTGGGCCTGGGTGCCATCCCTGAGCCCTTCACCTCAAGGCTAGCACTCTACCATACTCTACCACTTGAACCACAATACCACTTCTGGTTTTCTGGTGGTTAATTGGAGTAAGAGTTTGACGGGCTTTCCTGCCCAGGCTGGCTTTGAACCGCGATCCTCAGATCTCAGCCTCCTATGTAGCCACCGGCACCTGGCTTGAGCATAACTTTCTGATGGAAATTATATCAGAATGTGAGCACAAGTCATTATTGTTCTTAAATTATCATCAATTTAAGCCCTCATTTTTATTTTTTGGCAGTCCTAGTACTTGCACTCAGGGCCTAGGCACTGTCCCTGAGCTCCTTGTTCATGGCTAGCACTTTATCACTTGAGCCACAGCACCACCTTCTGGCTTTTTTCTGGTTATGTGCTACTAAGGAATTGAACCCAGGGCTTCATGCATGCTAAGCAAGCACTCTACCACTAAGCCACATTCCCAGCCTCCTCATCTTTTTTTTTTTGGTCATTCCTGGGACTTGAACTCAGAGCTCTTCAGCTCAAGGTGAGTGCTCTACCACTTGAGCGACAGCGCCACTTTTCTGGTGGTTTATTGGAGATAAGAGTCTTATGGACTTTCCTGCCTGGGCTGGCTTTGAACCATAAATATCAGATTCAGCCTCCTTAGTAGCTAGGATTACAGGCATGAACCACTAGTGCCTGACTACCTTACCTTTTTTTAAAACAAGCTCTCCCTATGTTCCCCAACTGTCCTCACACCTCAGGTCCTCCTGTCTCAGCTTCCAAAGTGCTGAGATTATAGGCTGGAACCACCGATCTGGCTGCTTGCTTGTTTTAATTAATAAATTTTATTTTTATTGATTATGCCTCTAAATAAACATTGATATAGGTAATAATCGGTAGAATGAACCACAGTAATATGTGAATGAAATTCATATTGTTTTAATTCATTTTTCTTTTAATAGTATTTTGTGAATCTCTTTCTATGTCATTGAATGTGAATATGAATTTTTTACCTCTTTTTTTTTTTGTTTTGTTTATTTTTGCCAGTCCTGAGGCTTGAACTCTGGGCCTGGGCACTGTCCCATAGCTCTTCAGCTCAAGACTAGTGCTCTACCACTTGAGCCACAGCGCCACTTTTGGTTTGTGAGTCTCACAGACTTTCCTGCCCAGGCTGGCTTTGAACTGCGATCCTCAGATCTCAGCCTCCCTAGTAGCTAAAATTACAGGCGTGAGCCACAGGTGCCTGGCTTCCGCTGGTTTCTTTAGATACTATAGATTATTTTCCTACTGTATATTATTTCTTCACTAGGTCTTAAAGCTTGTTCAACTGAGTTCTAGCTCTTAGTGCTGGGTTGGTGCCATGCTACTGAAAAAAGAATGAAGGAATGCAGTGAGATGAGCATGATTCACTTTACAATTTAAAAGGAACAACATTTGCTTGAATACAGTTTTATTTTGTAACTGACAGTTTTATTTTCTGATTTACAGTTCACAGCAATCCAATGGACATGCCTGGAAGAGAGCTGAATGAAGACAGAGACAGTGGCATAGCACGTTCTGGTAATGTCAGGTTCATGAGTGAATCCAGATTTTTATGATACTGCTGTTACCTGCACTGATTTTTTTTTTTTTTTGTCAGTCCTGGGGCTTGAACTCTGGGCCTGGGTGCTGTCCCTCAGCTCTTTAGCTGAAGATGAGCACTCTACCACTAGAGCCACAGTGCCACTTCCAGTTTTCTGGTAGTTCATTGGAGCTAAGAGTCTCAATGGCATTTCTGCTCAGGCTGGCTTTTAACCTTGATCCTCAGATCTCAGTCTCCTGAGTAGCTAGGATTACAGGTGTGAGCCACCAGCACTCATCTGTGCTGATATTTTTAAGCCCTGGCTTTGCCATCTAATTCTGTGTACAGAATTTTTCATATCGATACTAGCCATATTATTTATACCAGTGATAGATCCTGTGTAAAGACGTTTAGAAAAAGAGGACCTAACTTGGCCCAAGGGGTACAAGGTACAAACAATGATTTATAGAGGCAGGATGCTTGAATTGTATGTTGAGAAATAAATAGCAATTATCCAGGTAATAGTATAGAGAAAACTGATTTAGTTAGCTTTGTTGACCCTAAGGGGTGTGCTAAGTGAAAGATGGAGTCAGTTTTGGAATAATGTTAGATATGAATGTGAAATTGTACAACTCTGCTCTCTAAATTCATTCTGATTTAGTTTGTAGATGGCAAGATTAATCATAGTGGATTGTATTAATCACATGGGTTACATTCCATAGATGAGCAGTAGAGAAATGATTTTGAGATGATTGAAGTATTTCCAAAGGCTGATTTGACCTAGCAAATGACTTAAGCTTTTGTATTTGATAAAAACAAAATTAAAAATCACTACTTAACAAATCACCTGTACAAGCTGGGTGCCAGTGACTCATGCCTGTAATCCTAGCTACTAAGGACCCTGAGATGTGAGGATCATGTTTCCAGCCCAGGCAGGAAAGTCCTTTAGACGTGTGTGTGTGTGTGTGCGCGTGTGCGTGCGTGCGTGTGTGTGTGTAAGTCCTTTAGACATGTGTGTGTGTGTGTGTGTGTGTGTGTGTTGCGGGGTCTGGTCGTGGGGCCTGAACTCTGGGCTTGGGTGCTGTCCCTCAGCTCTTCAGCTCAAGGCTAGCGCTCTACCACTTGAGCTACAGTGCCACTTCCAGTTTTCTAGTGGTTTATTGGAGATAGGAGTCTTACGGACTTTTCTGCCTGGGCTGGCTTTGAATCGCGATCCTCAGATCTCAGCCTCCTGAGTAGCTAGGATTACAGGCGTGAGCCACCGGGGCCCGGCTTGTTTTGTTTTGTTTTTGTCATAGAACATCTTCAAGGAATTGGGATTTTTTTTTTAATGGAAATTTTGAAAGAAAGACCTTGTAGCACAACTGAAAATTTTGAGTCTTCTAACTTTGAAATTTGTTAAAATGAAATTTGTCATATGCTTCATCATTGACTTACCCATTATACTTTTTTTTCTGACTTTAACAGCATCTCTCAGCAGCTTGCTTATCACCCCATTTCCCTCCCCAAACTCCTCACTTACTCGAAGTTGTGCCAGCAGTTACCAGCGACGTTGGCGACGAAGCCAAACAACAAGTTTGGAAAATGGGGTATTTCCTAGATGGTAAGTCAGAGTTTTAAGCAAGATTGAATAGTTTCTTTAACACATATTTATATGGGAATTTTTAGAGCCTGGATTTCTGCTTTATGTATATGAAGTCTGGAATTGAAAACTTTTAAAATATTTTAAAAACATTGCTTTTCAAAATTGTGGTAAGTTACTAAAAGACAATTTACTATTTAATGAATTTTAAATATTTGATTCAGTTGACACTAAGTACAGTCATGCTGGTATTGTCATCAACTCTTGATCTTTTTCTCCTTCCCAAATTGAAGCTGATAGCCAGTGAACGATAACTGACCAGCTTTCCTTCTCTTGCAACCATTGTTCTGTATTTATCGGCACGAATTCGACTGCTCTAGCTACCATAGTAAATAGAATCAGGCAGTACTTGGCCTTCTGTGACTGGCTTATTTTCCTTTCGTAACAACTTCAGGGTTCATCCATTTTGTAGCATGTGTCAGAAATTCATTCCTTTTTATGACTAAATAGCATTTTATTAGAAGTACTTTTTAAAATCCATTCATCTAGCTGGGCTCCTGGTAGCTCACAGCTGTAATCCTAGCTACTCAGTAGCCTGAGACCAGGATCACAATATGAAGCTGGCCATGGGAGAAAATTAACCATTCAAAAACTGGAAATGTCACCATGGCTTAAGTGGTAGAGCTCTAGCCTTGAGCACAAAGCTCAGGGATAGCGCACAGGCCACAACCAGGGGAAAAAAAAATCCATTCATCTTCTGTAGACTAGTAGGTTGCTTCTACTGTTTGCTACTGTGAATAATGTTACTATGAATATGGGCATACACATATTGGTTTTAGTCCTTGACATTCATTCTGTGGATGTATATCTAGAAATGGAGTTTCTGGGTGAGAAGGTAATTATTTTTTGTCTTTCCTAATTCTTTTCTTGTCTTTTCCTTTCCTTTTTGTGGGTGCTGTCCCTCAGCTCTTCAGCTCAAGGCTAGTGCTCTACCACTTTGAGCCACAGCTCCACTTCTAGTTTTCTGGTGTTTAATTGGAGATAAGAGTTTCACAGACTTTCCTGCCAGGGTTGGCTTTGAACCATGATCCTCAAATGTCAGCCTCCTGAGCAGCTAGGATTACTGGTGTGAGCCACTGGCGCCTGGCTTTCTAATTCTGTTCTTTAGTCTGTCATATGTCTCTCTACATTGACTGCATGATTTTACATTGCCACCACGATGGAAGTTCTACTTTTTGCATTCTCCTCAAATCATGTTAACTGTTTTGTGTTATAGTCCTGGGGATCAAACCCAGGGCCTTGATTATGCTAGACAAGCGCTCTACCACTGAGCTACATTTTAAGGGATATTGATGTCATTTGTCATTATAGTTTGGTTTACATTTTCCTCATGATCTCTTAGAGTGCTTATTAGCCATCATCCTTAGAGAAATGTCTGTTTAAGTCCTTTATCCATTTTAAAATCACGTTTGTTTTGTTAGAAATTCTTTTATACAATTTAGATATTCTTTAACATATATTGTGTAAATATTTTAGCCCATTCCTTGGATTGCCTTTCTTTCTATTGATAATATCCTTTGAATTACAAAAATTTTATATAGAACAAGGTAGCTAATTTTTTCTTTTGTTGGTCAGGGGGCATGAACTCAAGGCCTGGGTGCTATCCTTGAGCTTTTTCCACTCAAGGCTATTGTTTTATCACTTTGAGCCACAGCACCACTTCTGGATTTGTGTTGGTTAATTGGAGAGCCTCAGCGGCTTTCTTGCCTGGGGTAGCTTTGAACCTGTATCTTTTCTGTTTGAGAAACCATTGCTAAATCAATTGTCATGAAGCTTTTCTCTTTTGTTTTCTTCTTAAGAGTTTTATGTTTCGATCTTCCATATACCATATGAAAGATGGTTTTGATTTCTTGGTGTTTCATGTTGGTTTTGATAAAACACCTTTTTTTTTAAGTCTGTGTTAGGTACAGATGTAGATAAGAAAGCATCATGTTTTCTTATTTATTCCTGCCCTTTCTTCTTTCTTCCTTCATTTTACTTTGGGGAGACAAGTAGATCTTAGAACACTGAATAGATTATGCCAGTCTTAGCTAAACCTTAAGTATTCTCAATCTGACTTTCTTTTTTCTTTTTTCTTTTTTTGTCAGTTGTGGGGCTTGAACTCTGGGCCTGTGCGCTGTCCCTAAGTTCTTCAGCTCAAGGCGAGCACTCTGCCGCTTGAGCCACAGCACCACTTCAGTTTTCTAGTGGTTTATTGGAGATAAGAGTCATCCCTTTCCTGCCCCAGCTGGCTTTGAACCGTGATCCTCAAATCTTAGCCTCCTGAGTAGCTAGGATTACAGGCATGAGCCACCTGTGCCCAGCCATCTCAATCTGACTTTCTAGTAAGCTTTCTTATAAAAAGTAGGCAAGAATGAACAGCTAGTAGAATTTCTTAATTATGCAATTAAAATTAAAGATATACATGTATTTGACAAAAAAGACAATTTTTAGCTTATGTATATTTAGTAAGAAGCTTGAATTGCAAATTTTTTAAACCAAAAATACATTTCTTTTTAAGGTCCATAGAAGAAAGCTTTAATCTGTCAGATGAAAGCTGTGGTCCTAACCCAGGAATTGTGAGGAAAAAGAAGATTGCAATTGGGGTAATCTTTTCATTATCGAAAGATGAAGATGAAAATAACAAATTTAATGAATTCTTTTTTTCACATTTTCCTCTCTTTGAAAGCCACATGAACAAATTAAAGAGTGCAATAGAACAGGTAAGTGTTACTTATACTTGTAAAAGATTAATTTTAATCTTTTCCTTTGTGTGTTATTTTTCTGAATAAACATTTTTATTGACTTAGAAGAAAAATTAACAGGTGCTTTTCAAAATGGTCTGGGAGATGCAAATAGATTCAATCTTTATATAAGCTCTTACAATTGGATAAAAGATTTAAGGCCATTTACTCATTCATTCATGAACGGAGATGTTGAGGGCTCTGTAATACAGAAGGACTATTGTAGCAACCAAAGAGAAGTTGTAAACAAGCAAAATTCCTGGCTTTATAGAATAGCAAATAGATGGGTATGTATTGTTTTAGATGATACTAACTATTGTAAAGAAAAATGAGCCGGGTGCTGGTGGCTCACGCCTGTAATCCTAGCTACTCAGGAGGCTGAGATCTGAGGATTGAGGTTCAAAGCCAGCCCGGGCAGGAGAGACCCTGAGACTCCTTTCTCCAATAAACCACCAGAAAACCGGAAGTGGCGCTGTAGCTCAAGTGGTAGAGCGCTCGCCTTGAGCTGAAGAGCTGAGGGACA